TTCAGGATGATGAGAAAAAATTCTGGTAAAGGTTGGGGTTTTAATATTAATATTAAGAGGTGCATCATCGTGATTTTCTATTTTCCACTTAAATAACAGGGGGAAACTTTTTTTTTCTTGGAATTTTATTGCGTTCTAACAAATCAGCGTTTTGTAAAAATCAATACATATACTTAAATAAAAAAATTATATTTTTTTTGGTGCACCCTAGTGTATATCATAGTGATGGGCATTACGGTTTTTTTAAGTGAATCGAATCAAGCGATTCAATTTCTCATAATGAATCGTCTTTTACGATTCGTTCATTTGAACAAATTACAAACACATTTTCAAATTACGATATTTGTGTCAAAGTAAGTACAGACCCACTACAGTAAATACGTAATATAGTTTTGATTTTAGGACATTTCCAGTATTTTTAATAATTTTTTAAAAAAGGTAGAAAATAATAATTGTTTTTTTATTTATTTATTAATATATTTGAAACTGTATAAACATATTTAATAATATCTTAGGATTATGTAAAGTGATAAGGAAGTCTTAGGATTATGTAAAGTTTAAAAAAAATATCTCGATCCACTAACACACTTTTGGACCACACTGTAGAAGTTAAAATATTTTCCTGAAATACATCCTAATACATACTATAGGTTTGCACTTAAACAAAATTCCTAACTTTTTAGCCGACCATACCAATAGGTATGGTAGGCTATTAGGATCGGCAAAAAAAAAGTTTTTTTAATTTCGCTCAAAATGAGTTACTTGGGTCATAAATGACCTAAATACAAAATATTTTCATGGTGTCTGTCTGTCTGTTTGTCTGTCTGTCCGTCTGTCCGTCTGTAACACGATAACTCAAAAACTGCTGAACCGATTTTAACCAAATTTGGCACAAAAATACTGTGGCACCCGAGAATCTGGCCATTAGTTTTTGATGTGGGTGGGGGGTTGATAAGGGGGTATGGGAGAGGGTTAAAAATTTTAAAAAATCGTAACTCCAAAATTACAGTAGCTAGCGAAACGCGGTTTTCAAATTAAGATTAGGAATGTAATCGGGAGATTAATATATTTAACAGAAATTGATATTTAAAATGTAATTCTAACTAGCTTGACAAAAACAATGTCTTCTCTGGGCCGAAATCAATAATCTCTGACATTCAACTGTTTCCAAAGCCTACTACTCCGCTACTCGCAAACATCAGCGGACACGGGGTGCAGGCACGGCGTGAAAATGACTGCCTATCATAAGGATCATAGGCGTCGATAACATTTTGCTATTAAATATGGCGTATACGAAGAATAAAGTTCTTGAAATACCTGAATTAAACTGAAAAACTCTGAAATATAATGAGGTGGTTAAAATTATATTATAATAATTTAAAAACTAATAATACTTATAAATTATGTGAATTTTTAATATAATTCTCAAGTGAATTTGCAAAACCTGAAGTTCGGAACCTACTTAACTTTTCTACAACCATGTATTTATTCAACTACATACCTAAATAGGTACAAAACAAAATAACTTTCTTAAAGACTACGTAATTTTCAAATAAGATCGAAAATGCGTGTATACTAGAAGGATTATGAGGTGTCTATAATAAATATTATGCCTTAATAAACGTTTGATTTCACAAATGTTTAACTTTAAATTTTACATATCTACTTACTATTTCTCTCTTGTATTTCTAATCACCAAAGATAATTACCAAGTACCATTCATGTAATACCTAGTATATTACTGATAGAGCAATACTAGACTACCTAAAGTTGAAAGTGTCAGTAAATTAAAAATATAGCTGAAATATTAATAACATCTATAACTAAACTTAAAGTAATAAAATAAGTAATAAGTAAAATGGGGTATAATTAAAAATGTATATATGAAAAATATAAATTATATATTTATGAAACAATCGATAGTAGGTACTTCTGAAAAACTGAAAAACTTTTAAAGACTTTTTTTTACCTTTCCACATAAAATGTCTTGAATATACCTGTATATACTTGATATATTTTTATTTACCTAATAAACAATGAAATTATTAAATTACTGTTCGACTTTTGTTTAATATTTTTAATTAAAAAGCTCCACAAAATATTTCAACGTACAAAAAAATAAAAATCATGTTTGAAAACCACTGTTCCGCATTTCGGCTTGATCAAGAAGTTTAATGAGAATAAAATAACACATATTCAACATAACTAATATACTAAATAACACATAACTCTAGAAATTTTATTCCTCAGGAGGACCATAGATAGATATTTATTTAACTTTTAATTTTAACAATAAAATTTTACTTTTTACGTAAAAATCTGTCTGTTTATGCTGAGGTTCGCAGCCATCTTCTTTCGCAAGCAAAATCGACCCTTATCAACCGACTACGGTAGCGCCCTCTCTTCGAGACCTCTTGAACCACGAGGCGATTCATATCACCGAAATCCGAACAATTACTTTAAACCAGCTTTAAACTGAAATCTGTCTCCATGACAACAATTTTTACTGTATAAAAATACTATCTTAGAATTTATCTCGTAATTACCTTAGAATTTATCTCGATTTTTTTTTCTAGCCATTTTTAAAATACCTTTCAGAAGAGATTTGCTCAGATAATGTGTTGGCTCACTACCTTTTCCTGTTATCTTCCGGAGTCTGTAACTTGTAGGGGTGATATGACGCTTCTTTCCAGCACTGCATTTTTTTCGCTATTACCTTCGAGCACTAGAGCTAGCAGAATGATCCCTCCGGTTTTCTTTTCGCGCTTCACCGATCCGACGACGGTATCCGAAATCCGACGTCGATGGGTACCCGTATCTGAGACAACCGAATAGATGCTCGAAACAGACGCGACGCGACGCCTTTACAAAACGATAGTCTCAAAGGTCAAAGTCAAGTCAATAGTCGTCAGTAAGTCAGAAATACGCCGTTACGGCCTAAGAACGCTGGATTAAACTCATCGCCACTTCTGATGTAATCGGGAGATTAATATATTTAACAGAAATTGATATTTAAAATGTAATTCTAACTAGCTTGACAAAAACAATGTCTTCTCTGGGCCGAAATCAATAATCTCTGACATTCAACTGTTTCCAAAGCCTACTACTCCGCTACTCGCAAACATCAGCGGACACGGGGTGCAGGCACGGCGTGAAAATGACTGCCTATCATAAGGATCATAGGCGTCGATAACAGGAATAATATTTGCAACAAAATTTGTAATATCATCAAAATCAGTCAAAGTCGCAGTTTTCGAGATATTAACATATTTTAGTATGGGTGGCTATACGTGCCTCCGGGCGCCAAGGATTGTATTATATTCCTTTAAGGGAATAATATATTGATATTTCTTTAAGGGAAATGTGTTCTAGGTGACATTGTTGTTACGTTACCAGGCCCTTCTTGTGCTTAATAAAGAGCAATAAAACGCAGATAAGTAACTGTTCCCTAATGTTCCCTAAATGTGACAAAACTTTGCTCACTGGGTATACTATATTCCAAATTGTCTTCAAACAATGAAAGTACATATTTAAAACAATAAAAAAAATCTAAAAGTTTTACTCGAAAACGAAAACGTAAAATGTATATCTATATACAGGGTGAGTTTAAAATAAGTAGCAAATATTTTTAGGGGTGGTATATTTCGACCCCAGAAACACGTCTATTTTTGGGAAAAAATATTTCTTTTTTAATTTTTAGTTAAAAATATAATATCTTGATAATGTCACAACATAGGTTGTGGATTAAATTTATAAGAACGAAAACTCAGAACATATCTAGTGGTTCTCAAAATTTAGGCGAAACATCATTTTGTTTAATTACCAATAACTCGACTATTTCGAACTTATTTGAAAAACGGTAACTAAATAAATGTTGTAAAATAACAGATAGATCAAAAACGACCCATATCTAGTATTTTTAGCTGGGCATTCTTTAAAAAACTTTTATTTAGGGTGTGTCATGTAGCAGTGGTAAATACAATGGTATATTAATTAACTAATTCTTGAATTCTTCGGAAAATGAAGAATCCAAACTTAAAACAAAGAAAAAATATTAAATAGAACAAAATATTTTGTTTACTAAAAAAGCATTATTATTTATTTTAAGTATTACGGGTCTTTATTTTTTTCGAAATAAAAAACTTCCAGTCACAAAGTAAAGAATGCACTAAGAAAGTTAAATAAAATAGAATATATTTAATTAATTCTTAAGCAAAAAAAAACGAGAACTCGATACCTAGCATCTCAGTGATTAATTTGTTGTCTCCTTTAAACAAAATTCAGCTATGTTTGTTACCTGCCTTTTAGATAAATTAGAGCTAAATTACAATATTAATATATAGGTACAATATAAGCACTTATTTTGATTAAAACTTGCCTGAAGTAGATGCTTGCTATCGTCTACGTCTACTTCATTACAATGAGAAATTATTTTCTATGCAAATTATTATAATGAACATAATTAAACTTGAACAAGTCTTGTTTAATTTCCTAGTCAAGGGAATATGAGTATTTTAGAACTATATTATAGGTATTTAAAACAACATAAAATATATACATATGTGTAGGTATATTCCTGTGAATAAAAAGGTTAAGGAAGGAGCAAATCAACAAACATGGGTAGAACGCGATGGGAACTAATATGGCTTACTTAAATTCATGTTTAACAGTCCTGTTCTAATTTTACTTAAAACGTGTAAACATATAATATACGATAGATTCAATAATAAATTTGTTGGTTTTGTTTTACGTTATCAATTAATATCATTAGTTATTCAAATTGTTAAAAAATATATTCTTATTAAAAACAGACAGGTTAAAAAATTATTTAATTACAAAAATACCAGATGCGCTACTGAAACACCTAGGTAAAATTGACGTATTTTAATTATTTTTGACAAGTAGTAAATAAAAGCGAAAATGCATAAAAGAATACGTAATTAGTTAATTATATTAGTTATTTACGACACATAATATAAATTGTATAGTTAGGTACTTACCAGTGCAGAGTTGTTCCCTTTTTTCTTCCGATTTTTGACCAAGATCTACAGCACGCTGCATAACTAACCATTTACAGTCTTTTGTCTGGAATTAACAATAAATGTTATTATGATTTAAGTTTATACACAATATTCTTAACAATTAAGATTTACTAACTTTTATCAAAACTAACTTTTAACTTGAAAAGTAATAATAACAATATAAATACTGTCTTCATACCAAGGTTTGTAGTTAATACATTCAAAACATGCCACATTTATTACATTTTTGCTAGGATATTCACTTTGCTAAGATTTTCACAATTTTTGAATTTTCTCAATTTCACGAATGGACACGATTGTATTAAGATTACTTTTAAACTGAAATTATTCACAGCATAAATCAATTCCATTTAAATACACATACATGTTATATAAGATACTTCGGAGATGAAATATATAAGGACAATTTTTAGCAAAGAATATTACAACAAAAAAAGAAAATATACTTTAGTTAACACTAGTTAAATCATGAGGAAAGTTTACTTTACCTTCAATAACATTCTTTAAAATAACCAAAACTTACAAACCAAAATAACATCAATACGTCTCGAACGGTAGTCTAAAAGCTATTATATAACACCTATCTGTCGTCTGATTTCCCTTTCTTTCTCTAGCTTGCTTATAAAATATATTTTAAAAATCAATAATTATTTTTGTATACAGAGTGTCTTAAAACTGAATGTTTTAGATTTAAAGAAATATATTTATTTTTAGTCATCTCACAGGATTGTCACAAATGGGAGATCAGGATGTCGATTTTGTATCTAGTTCATGAATGGATTATATTCCTTCTATAATTTTTTTTTATTCATAAGTATATCCCTTTTAAATATTCATTCCCTCATGTCCCCGGAGTGTCTTTACAGGAAGAAAATTTTATTTATTATTAACATTTTCAGAAAAATGCATTCTTTATAAAGATTTTTGCTCGTTCTAAAATGGTTAATCCCATGTATACTTTTTCAAATTTCCATACCGTTATAGAAAAAATTAATAAAAAAAAAACATGAAAATGATATGGTTGAATTTTTACTAAAAATCAGAATGCGTTTCTATCGTAATACCAGGTGCGTCTCAAAAGTGGCTCACCCCCTATAACTTTTTTATTTTTTCATAAATTAGGATTGATTGGCGTATTCAATTGTTTTTGGTCACTTCCTATTTCACCGGAAATGACGTGTATCTTATTCTACATAAGTCCTTTATAATTACTTTATTATAATTAAGGAACACGAAATAAAACACCAATATACACTCAGCCGAATGCTCACCGGTTCTCTGCGTAAGTGTGCGAACACAGTGCAAGCAGGTTTGCCGCTTTCTGGTAGCCAGCGCCAATCTGGGTACCTATTCTTGACATCGTTCGCAACTTTGCGTATACGCATCACGTGTATTGTTATAAACAGGGTATCCCAGAAATAAGTGCAAGTATTTTAAAGGGTGGTAGATCTCGATAAAAGAAACATATTTTTTCTTTATCGTTTTTCAAATAAGTCCAAAATAACGGAGTTATTTTACTTTGAAAATTTCCAAAAAAAATGATTTTTTGCTAAAATTTTGAGCACCTTCTTCATGTGCCTTCTCCTCATCGGAGGTTGGCGACCATCAATTGGAATTCCTCCCTGTCTTGAGCCAAACGGATAATTGCACTTGCCTCTCCTATATTAAACCACTGGTGCAAATTCCGCAAGCAGGAAAACCGTTTACGCCCGATGCCTCGTCGTCCTTCAATCTTTCCCTCAACGATCAGCTGTAAGAAACTATATTTGTTATTTCGAAAAATATGACCAAAATATGCTGCTTTCCATCGTTTTATTGTAGTCAATAGTTCTTGGTCCTTACATATTCTTTCCAATACTTCGATATTTGTTTGAGAACCACTGGATCTTTTCTGGATTTTCTTTCTTATAAATTTAATCTACTACCTATGTTGCCATATTATCAAGAAATTATTTTTTGAAATAAAAACTAAAAAAAAATTGCAAAAAAATTTCAAAAATATTTTCAAAAAATTCCGAATTTTCAAAAAAAATATTTAGAAAAAAACCTCATAGGCGTGTTTCTGGGGTTGAACTATACTACCAGTTAAGTTAAAATACTTGCACGTATTTCTGGGACACCCTGTATATGGTTACATAGTAGCGCCGCGCCGCGCCGCCTTGCGCTTATAACCTTGAGAAATTAAAGCGTGTTATCAAATCGGTTAGTTCACAGTAAAAGCAGGTAGGAGCCGTCAACCAGCGTTCGTCGGCGTTCTCGCTTTTACCGGAACGAAAATGTATTTATTTCTGCTTTGGCAGGCGCCGACGGCGCACAGAGGGTGTTAAGAACTAAAAGTTGGCCAAAATTATGTTTTATGATTTTTTTGCTTTTTTGCTAGTAATATTAATTATTAGAGGACAGGGTGCTAATATGGAACCTCATTTTGTTTTTCCTACACAATATTTTTTCCTCTACTCTGAAACCCTCCGATCAAATAAGGCCACGATCAAATAAGGCCATTCTGTGCAAAACCAAGCAATTGGATGAGGATGCTAGAACAAGAAAGTAATTTGTATATTATAGACGATATTTGAGCGAGGATGGGTGTTATAGGGTAAAGACTATTTCCTTTAAGAATCTATTTAAATCAATGTTTTTTTGGCAGTGGCAAATATTCGCAAGATTTTTGTACATATTCCAAAGCTGGAGACTTTAAGCATTGAACGGATACTAATTTCTATGCGGAATATTGCCCAATAGTCTTACACCTTATAAAAATGCCTCTGATTTTTTAAATATAAAACATTATAAAGAAATAGAATAGAAAAAAACGTTTCAAAAAAATATGGCATAAAACAGGACTTGCCAGCTGGCTCTGTATCCATGATGACAGTTATAAACAATTTGCCAAAAAGCACTACAAACAATTCCACTATTTTATAATCTTAGAAATATTCAGAATACACTTAAGATAATTCATACTTATAATTGAAATATATTATTTATTTGATAGTCAACTTACGACTTAAAAAAAAGCTAATAAACGCGCTTACATTTAGTATTTATAGATTTGTATTCAGTTAAGATAAAAATGAAAATAAAAATATTTCACTTTTGGCCAGGTTTATAGACCAAATACCCTATGTGCGGCGCCGGCGCGGCAGGAGCGGCGTTTGGATATGGTTAGGTTAGGTTAGGTTAGTTAATCAGGTAAATTTCCTCTTAATTAACTACTTCCGAACACTGCTCGCCATCTCCGAAAAAGCCATATAACAATACACGGCATATACGCAAAGTTACGCATCACGTGTATTGTTATATGGCTTTTTCGGAGATGCGAGCAGGGTTCGGAAGTAGTTAATTAAGAGGAAATTTACCTGATTAACTAACCTAACCTAATCTAACCATATCCAAACGCCGCTCCCGCCGCGCCGGCGCCGCACATAGGGTATTTTGGTCTATAAACCTGCCAAAAGTGAAATATTTTATTTTCATTTTTATCTTAACTGAATACAAATCTATAAATACTAAATGTAAGCGCCTTTATTAGTTTTTTTTTAAGTTGTTAGTTGACTATCAAATAAATAATATATTTCAATTATAAGTACGAATTATCTTGAGTGTATTCTGAAAAATGTCTAAGATTATAAAATAGTGGAATTGTTTTGTAGTGCTTTTTTGCAAATTGTTTATAATAACTGTCATGATGGATACAGAGCCAGCTGGCAAGTCCTGTTTTATGCCCATATTTTTATTTGGAAACGTTTCCTTCTATTCTATTTCTTTATAATGTTTTATATTTAAAAAATCAGAGGCATTTTTATAAGGTGTAAGACTATTGGGCAATATTCCGCATAGAAATTAGTATCCGTTCAATGCTTAAAGTCTCCAGCTTTGGAATATGTACAAAAATCTTGCGAATATTTGCCACTGCCAAAAAAACATTGATTTAAATAGATTCTTAAAGGAAATAGTCTTTACCCTATAACACCCATCCTCGCTCAAATATCGTCTATAATATACAAATTACTTTCTTGTTCTAGCATCCTCATCCAATTGCTTGGTTTTGCACAGAATGGCCTTATTTGATCGTGGCCTTATTTGATCGGAGGGTTTCAGAGTAGAGGAAAAAATATTGTGTAGGAAAAACAAAATGAGGTTCCATATTAGCACCCTGTCCTCTAATAATTAATATTACTAGCAAAAAAGCAAAAAAATCATAAAACATAATTTTGGCCAACTTTTAGTTCTTAACACCCTCTGTGCGCCGTCGGCGCCTGCCAAAGCAGAAATAAATACATTTTCGTTCCGGTAAAAGCGAGAACGCCGACGAACGCTGGTTGACGGCTCCTACCTGCTTTTACTGTGAACTAACCGATTTGATAACACGCTTTAATTTCTCAAGGTTATAAGCGCAAGGCGGCGCGGCGCGGCGCTACTATGTAACCATATACAGGGTGTCCCAGAAATACGTGCAAGTATTTTAACTTAACTGGTAGTATAGTTCAACCCCAGAAACACGCCTATGAGGTTTTTTTCTAAATATTTTTTTTGAAAATTCGGAATTTTTTGAAAATATTTTTGAAATTTTTTTGCAATTTTTTTTTAGTTTTTATTTCAAAAAATAATTTCTTGATAATATGGCAACATAGGTAGTAGATTAAATTTATAAGAAAGAAAATCCAGAAAAGATCCAGTGGTTCTCAAACAAATATCGAAGTATTGGAAAGAATATGTAAGGACCAAGAACTATTGACTACAATAAAACGATGGAAAGCAGCATATTTTGGTCATATTTTTCGAAATAACAAATATAGTTTCTTACAGCTGATCGTTGAGGGAAAGATTGAAGGACGACGAGGCATCGGGCGTAAACGGTTTTCCTGCTTGCGGAATTTGCACCAGTGGTTTAATATAGGAGAGGCAAGTGCAATTATCCGTTTGGCTCAGACAGGGAGGAATTCCAATTGATGGTCGCCAACCTCCGATGAGGAGAAGGCACATGAAGAAGGTTCTCAAAATTTGAGCAAAAAATCATTTTTTTTGGAAATTTTCAAAGTA